TTTCTATTATGCATATGTTATATATTTTGACGGTTCCCATGGCTCTTGGATATTCTATTTCTTTTTTCAGTCTTTTTTCTCTTTGCTTTTCAGTTTTGGAATTTTTGTTGTCATATTCTCTAGCTCAGAGATTCTTTTTTCATTCATGTCCAATTTACTGACGAGCCCATCAGAGACATTCTTCATTTATGTTATAGCATTTTTGATCTCCGACATTTCTTTTTGGTTATTAAGAATTTCTGTCTTTCCACATTTATTATCCATCAGTTCTTGCATATTATCTACTTTTTCCATTAAAGACCTTAGTATAGTGATCATAGTTTTTAAAAAAAAAAATATTCCTAGCCCGATAATTTCAACATTCTTGCCATATGTGACTCAAGTTCTGATGCTTGCTTGTTTCATTTCTTCAATCTGTGTTTTTGCCTTTTAGTATGCCTTGTAATTGTAACCAAAACGTGGATGAGATGTACTTGGTAAAAGGAACTGTAGTAAATAGGCGTTTAGTAATGTAGTGGTGAGGTGTGGACAGAAGAGCAGTATCCTATAGTCCTAAGATTAGGTCTCAGTCTTTTAGGGAAGCCCTTCGACTGTGAACTTCACAAGTACTTCTCAGTTGTTGTTTTTCAGCTTCTCAGGTTTGTTTGTTTATTTGTTTTAGGTGGGACAGGATGGCCAGAGGGGGTTGGAATTGGGAGCTTCTCTTCTCCAACGTGTGGAAGGCTAGATCCTGCTAGAATTGAGAATTTCTCTTTCCCCTGATCAGTAAGGCTCTGATAAAACCCCATTAGGTTAGGCTCCGGTAAAATAATTTTCCTGAGGGTAGGCCTCATTAAGAGGAATAGTATGCTCAAGTGTTTTTTTAAAATGGTTCCTTTTCTCTTCCCTTTGCTGAAAGCAGCAGAGCATTTTTATCTGATATTCACTGTGAGAACTTGGTAAATTTTCTGGAGGTAAAACTCACAAAAGTGTGGAAGGCCCCAGTGACTAGATCCCTTCAAAGTTTTTAATTTTCAGACATGTCCACACTGAGTCTCCACCAATTTGTCAATTATAATTCAAGTTTTCCTAGCCCAGCACTGATTTCTATGGCGATTTCTGCTCTGGTAAGTTGTGATTCTCATAGTGACCTGTCTGTCTCTCCACTTTGGGGGCATGGTTTGCCATGTGACCTCACTTTTCTGATGGACTAAAAGAATTGTTGATTTTTTAGTTTCTTCAGCTTTTTATATGTTGTTAGTGGTGGCTTCTTAAAATGGTGACTTCTAAGCTCCTTACATGCCCGACTGGAAAGCAGAAGTTAACAATAAAAATCAAGGTTATAATTTCTACCAAGAAAAAGTATTTAAGAGACCAGTATTTATAAATATCTTGGGGATTTTTAACAACAAAAATACTCAAAATTCTATGGTATCATCATGCAATACAGGATAATTATAAAATATGACGGGAAATCTGAGACGACTTTATGAAATTGAGAGATGTTCTTAAATGAGAAGTCAATGTTATAAAATTTTGAATGTCCCCAAATTAATTTGATTAGAACTGTGGTAAGTTGGTATAATTGTAATAAATGCTTCAAAGGTAAGAAAAGGTTTCTGAAGTTAATGTGGGAGAATTATTGGCTCTTTGAATTCCATATATCTGAAGTTACATAATTAAAATTTAGGTACTATATTAAAAATAAATAAAACAGTGAAAAAAATAAAAACAGTAAACAAGAAAACAAGACATCCCAGTCAGAAGAAAATCCAAGTGTATGAGAAATTTTATCTGTGACATTTCCAATCCATAGGGACAGTCTATTCTATTCATGAACAATTCCGAGATATCTGCTTAGCTCTTTAAAAATTTTTTTATATCTGATACAAGTACCAAAATAAATTCCAAATGTATTAAAGATTTAAATGTCGTATTCTCTACTCAACATATATATGGGCATTTATCTTTTTGGTTGAGATGCCCTGAACAGATTAGCAAAGGAGGAAATTATAAAGAGAAAAATTTAATAGATAATACTACATGGAAAAGCCATTAAAAATGTACTACAGCACCAAAAAAAAAAGTTGTAAGTAGTATCAAAAGTTAAATGAAAAATTGGGGGATATAGTAGTAGTATTTGATAAAGCCAATTTATTCATCAATCTAAAGAATTCTTATAAATCTTATGTATAAATACATGAAGACTCATAGGGAAATGAGCACTTAATGTTGACAAGCACTTGACAATGGATACACTAAGAGAGACAATAAATCTAGAAGAAAGTTAACCTCTTGGTAAAACAAAATACAAATTAAGAACATTATTTAAATTTTCTCTAAATTTTATTGTGGTTAAACAGAATTAAAAGGTTATTGTAGAAAACAAACAAAACATTTATGGGTTACTTCTTATAGTATAAATTATCTTTCTGATGGCCATTTGACAGTATATATCAAAAGCCCTAATGTCTCAACTCATTATTACCTTTCTAATATTTTTAAGTTTGACTATAAGGAATTGTATAATCAGAATTAATTTTAACTGTGGAATTTATCCTAAGGAAACAATCAATAGATATAAATCTGTATAAACAGATGCTTGTTTAAGTGTCATTATAATGCGAAAAATTTAGAAACGCATCCAATAATAAAAACACCGTCCATCCATATATTAAATGTCATGTCCATTAGAAAACATGTTTATCTAGGGTTAAATGAGCTACAAGCATTCTGATCCCATTTTTGTAAGCCTAGCAATCATATAAACATGTGCCAATTAAAATAGCAAATGAGCAAACATCACAGCAATTATAGCCATTATCTTTGCTATTGAGATTACAGGTGAATTTGGTTATTTACTTTGTAGTTTTCTGAGTATGGATTAGTTGCAAAATCAAAAAAGAAATGATGTTTTTAAATTCATTTAACTCTGGTGATTATTGATGAAGGTTTTTTTTTTTTTCTCTATAAAGAAAATTCACTAACAATTTAGATAAATGGAAATTTGATTTATAGTTTTCACTTTTATTTCTTACTTGCCATGTGGCTTGTTTGGGATCCATATTGTTAACTTAATATGGCAGTAATCTAATTGTAGCTTTAAAAATTCTTTCATGTTCCTGAGGACACACACAGATGGTCTGACTTCTTTAAGATCATCTGTTGGCAAAGCTCAAATGCTGAGTTACTGAAGGTGTATTTGATATGGCATTTAGTCCTTCAGGGGGTCCCTTCCTTTCCCATCTGCAGAGCCATTTCTGTCACTCAACCCTTTGTTTTTCCCTGACTTGAAATCTCTCTCTTACAACTGCCAGGCTGGTTGGTGATGGATGACTCCTGAACAATGCTGATGCTGGGATGGCAGACATCCATTCCTCACAGAACTACTTTCTCTTGAACCTTTGATATACTTGGCAGCCCTACCCCTACAAAGGCATTCATTATAGGGGTGCTTTGGTGAAAGGGAGCCATGGTGGGTGGACTTAGTTCCCATTTTAGTTTTAGGGAAAGTTACCATTGCTGAGTCTTCATTTCTTCTTTTGTTTTTTCAGCAAATAGTTTTAAGCCCCTACTATGAGAAGAACTTTTATGACAGGCAAATAAAATCCTTGAACTCTTGGTAGCGACTCATCCGAAATTGGAAATTCCACTTACCTAAGAGTTAGAAGAGAATTCCATGTGACATTGTGCCTGCCGCTCACCTAGAATCTTCTCAATGAATAATAATTGTTTCCCCTTTCTTCATTATTTGAAATTGGACCAACTGTAGCATTGACTAATCTGTGCTTAAAGCTCTCCCAAGAACAGATTTCTCCATTAACTCTGTGCCTTGTTAACTCTATTGCCTAGTGTACAAGAACTCTTTAAGGATATTCCCCGTGATGACTTGTCTGCAAGGATACTGGAAAAGGAAACAGATCGTTCATCATATCCCAGTTCTTTCACTAAGAATAGGTTTAATTGGCAGCTGGAGAGTCTGAGGGTTATGGGGTTGGTACAGATACTTGAGGTTTCATGAAACAGGCTCTTCCTGAAGTGTGTAGCTGCCTGCTTTAATTCCTTCAGTGTCTGGATCAGCTTTCTTGTATTGTTCTCACATTTACCCTCAACCTGAACATTAAAAACTCTTCTCTCCTCAACTTAGCATTTCATCTAAAGGTCTTTTACCTGAGGCAACCAAACAGGGAGGAACTTTAGAGATCATATATATGACTTGCATAAATCAGTTCAGAGACATGACATGCTCAAAGATCTGGGCAGTGACATAATCTACATTCTGCTCAAAATGTACTTTTTATTATGCTTCGCTATGGGTGTTTCTGTGGAACTGAAAATTGTTCTTCTCAGAGAACACATTCCAGATTCAGATACAGCATTAGGTCATTGCTTCTGATGTCATGGAGAATTGAAAGCATAAAACTGTTAACATGAGAATTGTGTGTGAAGTTGGAAGAGACCAGGTTTTGCCAGGTTCTGAATCAGCAGTCCTTCCCCTGCCCACCTGTTTTATCCAACTTCCTCCAAATTGGTGTATTTCCATCTCTTTCTTATATGCTTGTGATTAACCAATCAGTATTAAGAAAGAAGGATAGCAAAATAGTAGAATAATCAAAGAGAAGAAATAACTGAATAAGAGAACAAAAGCAGTTTGTACTTAGAGGTTGCTTCACAATGTTGGCACAAACCGCAGAGGTGTATGCAAGTAATTTGCACCTCACTCCTCCACACGAGCCTTCCTAACTCTAGATGTGGCCCGTGTGTTAGAATCTCTGGGGAAACTAATGGCACAGGTGTTGTTTTCATGCTACTCATTCTCCAGAGCCCTGGTTGAGAAACATGGAAATGTCCTTGGCAAAGTTTATAATATGTCAAGTTTTATTAAAAGTGAGATTAAACAATGGTTAATTGTTGAATTAACCATTGATTGTATCTCTATCTTCTCTTATGTCTAGACTCATGCATTAGCCACTCTCTACTGTTTTATATTTTACCTTGGTTGTGCATTTTACCTTCCATAGGACCAGCTCTCGGCTGACATGTACAGTTTTGTGGCCAAAGAAATTGACTATGCAAACTACTTTCAAACGGTAAGGTTCCAGAAAGGTGACACTACTTATAACCTGTTTGCAAATGTGGACATGGAACTGAGGGCCCCTTGGTTGAACATGCTGTAGAAAAGAGTGGGGGTTTGACTGTTCTACCTGTGAATAAATGCTACCTTTTCTTCCCCTTGTATTGATTTTCCCCCAAAATTAAGAATAAAATTTACCTCATCTATGAACGTTACTGAAACTCAGTAATCTATGGCAATCGTTCTCAATCAGAGGTGGTTTTGATCCCTCTCCCAGTGGACAGTTGGCAGTGTCTGGAGACATTTTTGGCTGTCACCTTTTAAGGGAATTGCTACTGGCATCTAGTGCGTAGAGGTTAGGGATGCTGCTAAACATCCTCAAGTGCACAGGACAGTTCCACAATAATTATCCAGACCAAAATGGAAGTAGGGCAAAGGTTGAGAAACCTTGGTGTATCAAAAACAAAGAACTGGGAAGAAGATAATTCTGTCCCCAGCACATATTTGATTTTAATCTAGATTTTTGCCAAAGATGATGACAGACTGGTAAATGACAATTGATGTGACCTATTTAGCTGCCTTTCGTCAATGAAAGCAGATTTAGAGACACTGTCTTAGTCAAGAAAAAAAATACAAATTGAAAATAGGGAAGTGATGGAATGATAAGGAAGGAAAATAAAGGAAGAAAAAGGAGAAATCCTGAAAAGATTAAAATGCTTCAATAAGTATATAGAATAGCTGTGGGCTATTAGCAATCTTCTAACACTTCCATCAGTGGATCAGAAGTTCAGACAAGTTGCTTCTACCCTAATAAAGAGCTGATATGCATTCTTTCCAATTTCGAACATTTAAAGTAGTGTATTTTTCAAGTATATTCCCACTGGTTTTATTTGGGAAGGTAATATTCAGTTTTAGAGTATTAAAATTAATGAAATTTTTGACATACTGCTCTTATCAGTATTTCAGCAGGTTTTTTAGTACTGGGATGGTCAAAATAGAACATCTTGAAGGAATTTGTTCTTTGGGTTGTATGTCTATAACCAAAGCAGTTTTACCTCCCAGAGTAGTCAAGGAGGATTGGGGATTAAGCCAAAAGTTTTCTGATCAGTTATATCTTAAACTGACTTTACAGAAAACAAGATATATATGTTTACATTTATGTATGTGTGTGTACACATACACACACACAGGCTAATGGCATTTAACTCTTTTAGGCAAATGGATTTCTAAATGTGTTTTTCATTTACATTTTCCTATTGTTGTACTTCCATTTGTTTCCTTTTGCTTTGAGGATGGGATCCTCAGTAAGGAAGAATAGCAATGAAGGCAAACTCTCTAAGTCAGACTCCAGCTCTGAGGTGGTTCCCCCGTATCCTTCACGGTTCTGCATCCCAAATGGCCTTCTTTGCTTCAGTGGCTAAGGAGGAATATGTTCATTATTTTAGGTGGATTGAGGAGGGAGCTGGGGACTCCACCTCCTTCCCTATAAGACAGCACTTTCATGCAGAGTACCCGCATGACATAGCAGCCTGTGCTCCCCACCCTTTGACAAAGGGTAATGCTTGCTCTTGTGTTTTTTCAGCTAATAGAAGTGCAAGCTGAATACCACAAGAAGTCATTGACACTCTTGCAAGCTGTGTTGCCTCAGATAAAAGCACAACAGGGTAAGTGCCAACCTTCCTTAGACAGATAAGGGTTGGGAGCCTGCTTGCCTTACCAGATGAGACCATTGCCCAATATTGCCTTCCTAGGTGAGACTGATGACCTGTATTTCACCCTTACTCTCTCCCCAACAGGGTCACATTTAGATGAGCTGCTAGAACTTCACAAGCTGGTGCCTTGATTCAGTTTCAGTGAAGCAAATCGCACTCACACACATTCTTTCCTCAAGGGGATGAGTTGGGGGGGGGGGTTGGGTGCATGGATATGTGTGTGGAAATTGTGTGTCACATGCAGCCCAGCAGCTCTGGACATAGCTGTTAGCCATCCATCTGCCCGGTCCTCCCTGTCTTTCTAAAACCACAAGAATGGATACTAAACTGTGCCTCCATGGTTTTGGTAGTCTGATGAAAATCTGTATGACAAGAAGAAAGAAATATTTCAGCATAAGTGAACGTCAATAACTGTTTTCATTGACACCCTTTCTCTCTCCACCCCCTTAAGAGGCCTGGGTGGAGAAGCCCTCATTCGGGAAGCCTCTGGAAGAGCATCTCATGATCAGTGGCCGGGAGATCGCCTTCCCCATTGAGGCATGTGTAACGATGCTGCTGGAATGTGGGATGCAGGAAGAGGTAGGTTTGGGCACAGCCAAACCCAGCCCCTAGCTAGTCCCCTCTTCCATGAGACAGAGCCTGCAAGATCTTCTCTCCTGTTACCATCCCCATCCTGGCCCCCACAAATCCAAACATGGTAAGATGTGGTACAGCCCCATCTCCTGCAGAACTTAAAGTGGCCCTGTTCTCTCCCATGAGCGTTCATTTTATAGGAAGAGTGGAGGACTGTGGAAGACTGATGCCACTGGCCATGGGGAACTTATAGCCACACTCCAGCCATTCTTTCTTCATATTTAACATGATTTAGGTATGCCGCTGCTATTGCGGCTATTGCTTTCTGTCCTGCCTCTTCCTCCTAACTGCCCCCCTCCTCCATCTTCTTCATAAGTTCTCTGATTTTAAAAATAGACCTTTTAACCTTTTTGATCATAACTTTTTTAATAGAGATCATGAAATATGATTGATAGAGAATTAGAAAGTACTTCTTAAGAGCCACATGTAAAAAAGACCTCTGAGGAATTGGCGAACTGATATTTTTATTGCTGTGTAAATCATTTCTTAGGAGATAGATCTCATTTTGAGTTTCTTCTACAGGCTATTTTTAAATCTTTATCTTCCTTTGATCTGATCAGCCAATCAATAATTATGTAGAGCATGTTGTGCATTTATTACTGAGCAAAGTATTAAAGAGTAAGATAGGGGCATATGAACTTTTTGGGGGAGATGAGTGTAACATCTATCAAATAAACCTGATGAATCCAAAACAGCCTTTAAGTCAGTACTAGGTCATATGGTGCAAACTGTGAGGGCTTGAGAAGGTGAGGAACCCATGAATGTTCACATATGTGTTGGCCGCCTCCTTCCTCTCTATGTCAGGCCTGCTCTGGATGCTGGCTATTTCCAACAAATGAGAATAAGTGTCTTTTTTTTCTTTTTTTTTTTACCACATTTTATATGCCAGACATTTTCACATGTGTTATCAATTTCAAGATGAAAGTTCTTTGCAGTCCCTGAGGTACAATTTCATGGAGGGAGGTAGACTGGGCCTTTTCTTTCCCCATCATTTTTTTTTTAATTATGGAAAATCTGAAACACTTAAAGATAAGATAATGAGCCTCATCACCTAGCTTATGGTCAATCCTGTTTCATCTTGACCTTCATTTTCTGTCCCCCAATCCCTGCCTTGGACATTTGAAGCCAATCCCAGTCATTATATCATTTTATCTATAATACTTCAGTAAGTTTCTCTAGAAGATAAATGTTTTGTAACATTAACAGTATTATTACATACCAGAAGTCAAAATAATTTATCAATATCTTTAAGTTTCTAATCAATATAAACCGGTTCTCGAAGAACAGATGTTAGATGATCAGGCATCTCCCATCTTGTCCTCCGACTCTTCCATCGGCTCTTTCTGGGCCTTTCTGCCTCTTGTCAGAACTCACTCTCTCACTTGCATTTTTCCCTACTTTGCATCAGCTCTTTTCCTTTCATAACAAATATACTCAGGTTTCCTCTAGCCTAGAAAAAAGTCTTCTTTCAACCCAACTACTGCCTTATATTCCTTCCCTAAGCTCTTAGGTTTTGTTTTTTGTGCTACCCAATTTCTTAAAATAACTCTCAGCATTTGCTGATTCTTCATCTTTACCACCACTGACTTAACCTACTTTTCTCTGCATCATCACTTCTGCTCACACCGCTGGGCTCAGCCTGCCCTCATCGATCCCTAGAGACCCTGGATTGCCCAATCCCACGATTTAGCCCAGCAACCTTGGCCATGCTGCCTGTGAAGTTACTACTGTAGCCATCCTTGAAACTAGCACCACCCTCAACTCCCTGGTTCCTCCCTTACACCTACCTGTCAGCCGCATTGAGATGATCTATTAAGCACTGCCATCCCAGCCCTGCCCTCTGCTCTCTCTAATCTTTCCTGGGGCATAAACATCCTCTCCTAGAGCTCACCTCAACCTCATTGGGAATTCAGGGTCTTCACTCCTCCTTTGGGCTCCACTCCCATGTTTGCTGCCATTTCTTCAACATTACCATGCAGATTTTTCTCTGATGCCCCCAAAACTGGACTCGCTAACTATCACCTTCTCCTGATTTTTATTTATCTCAGTTACACAGTCAAGAATCTGAAGGCTTGTATTTTACAGCTCTACTTTTTTCTCTTTGGCATTGTCCATCACCAAATGCTATTGCTCTTCTTCCATGTCTATGGCATGTTTTTGTGAGGATCTAACCCACTCCTTTAACGTGTGCTGTAGCTTTCTCTCTTTGTCATAGCAGCCTTACTTATGTTCTAGTCCAAACATGTTTCAGGAGCTTCCTCACATGTATGCCACAGAGCTTTGGACATCTATTTATCTGATATACCCAGTAATGAGAAGGGAGTTAACAATCTTAGCAGGCCCCAAATTCAGTATTCTAGACCAAGAACATTTTCTTCAGAAGGAACCTGAATATCTGAATGGCCATAAATATTAAAGGAACAAGGAGTATTCTGCCAGCCTGTTTCTCAGTCTGTGAGTTGAATCACAGAATCCAAGAGGCTAAGGAGGTGAAACAATGCAGTAGGTCTTCAATTCATGTCTAACTTACTTGTCTGTGACTTAGAGATTCCTTTCAAACTCTGACCTGCATTCGTCTCTTCTCCCAACATTCACACACCCTGTAGAGCTATTCACATCCAACTTCCTAGGCCCGCCAAATCTAACCACGTCTCAGTCAAATTCTACTCCAAAACATATTATAAATACACAAGAAGTCTGAGTGCCCAAATTTTATTTTTTCAATGACTACTAAGATAGAATAATGAGTCATCCTATACTACACGCTGAGAACACAACAATGGGTAAGGCCCAGTTCCTGCTCTAAAGGAGGACACATTTAGAAAACAAACCGCTACAATGTTGAAAATGGTGCTGGGAAAAAATGCATCTAGGAGAATTTGGGGGAAAGGAGTGCAGCTCACTGACCCTCCATCCTGTTGGTAGGGACTCTTTCGAGTAGCTCCGTCTGCCTCCAAGCTGAAGAAGCTGAAAGCTGCCCTGGACTGCTGTGTGGTGGATGTGCAAGAGTACTCAGCAGACCCCCATGCAATTGCAGGTGGGCGCCCACAGCCCCTTTGTAAGGTGCTTGCTTGTGCTGTAGAGGCTTATGGGGAAGGTGTGAACATGGAGCGTGTGTGATCACATGTCACAGGCACTTGAGCCAGTGGCTTCCTAATATGCATCAGATGTGTTCACTCAAGGCCCAGTGTTAGGCCTGGTTGCTATGGCCTCTTGAAGGAAAGTCTCCCCAGTGTACCAACAGAAAATGATGTAACGGTGGGAAATAAGAGATGGGGAGGCCAGTGCAATTGTCAGCGCCAGTCCAGTTGCCATGCCAGAACCTCGGATCCATTTATGTGGGAAGCTACCATTTGATCTTGTTGTCTGGGTCAGGGAGCCCATCCCCAGATGTAACCCACACGGGTATTGCTGGCTGGTAGAATTTGTCTCTGCCATATCAAAGTGGCTTATGGCAAATATTGTATTCATGCCCAGGAGCTTTGAAATCTTACCTCCGAGAGTTGCCAGAACCTCTTATGACCTTTGAACTCTATGACGAGTGGATTCAGGCTTCCAAGTGAGTATACAACATTTTGGAGCATCTTGTGGGTCAGTGTTTATTTGGAAGTATTTATTGAAATTGTGAAAGCATGTAACCTATGAGCCAGACGCTCTATTTCTTGATATCAGTCATGGAGAAGTATGTGTACATGTACCCAAAGAAACATACAAGGATGCATGTTAAATGCAGCATTATCTAGAATAATGAAAGCCTAAAAGTTACTAAATGTTCGTCAATGGGGAACATGGGGAGTGGCTGAATAAACTATGGTATATCTACTCTGTGACATACTCTGCAGCAGTTAAAAAAATAGGTAGAACCATTCATGCTAACATGAAAAGGTATGAAGATTTATTGTTGAGTGAGATAAAGCAAGTTAACCAGGACACATATGCTATTCTGTTGTTTGGTTAAAAAAACTAAACAAACACTAAAAACAATAGAGTTTTAGGAGTGCCCCTCTATATGTGTCAATGCATAAAAGATGGTTCCGAAAGGCTCATGGGCAGATGGTAATGATTCCTTCTCGAGAAGAGTAGGACACGGGAGTGGTCACAGGGGTCTTTATCTGTACCTATAATAGTTGTGAATATTTTAATAACAACTAATTAATAACTAATATAAAAACATAACATCTGGGCAATGGACACTTTTCTACTCTCCTGAAGATGAGCCTGTGAAAGAGGGCCTCAGTGGGGAGGAGACAGGAACAAGGCTCAAGACTCTAGACATGTAGCAGGTAGAGGGAAAATATGCAGAGCCGGGAAAGCCACAGCCATGCCACATATTATGGCTCTGAAGTACAATTTTCCTTTTTGCTTCTTGAGTTCTTTCCTCACTTGACGCATGCATTAGGATTGGCTGTAAGCAAAAGCTAGTTTAAATAAATGCTCTTATTGGGAGGAATTGGTTTTTACTGAGTAGTAGACATCAGAGAATTGGCGCCAGAGAGTGGGTAGTAGAGATGAACCAGAAAAAAGAGATAAAGGAGGGGAAGAACATTTTATGAGAACAGGACTAAGCTAGTGCCCATGAAAGGACATGATTTCTAGAGCTCTTTAGTCATGAGCTTTAGTTGTAAAGAGCAGCCAGCTTAGCCTATCGGAAAGAACACTGGAATATGTATCTGCTTCTGTAAGAACTGGGAGCTGAGAAAGAACCCAGCTGACCAGGCTAGTACGTGTGGAGTTAGAGAAAGATAGCTCCAATCAAGTTACATAACGCTATTTTGTTCCATGATAGACTAAAGATTATGCATCCTAAAGGGTGGCTGAATATATGTTTTTATATCTCATTGTGGAGAGTGCATGTTGAGTTCCACGGTGATATAAATAATCATAAATGATGCTTTTTGTTGAGTGTTTGTTAGAGACTCAACATTGTTCTAAGCTCATTATATGTTTTTTAACTCATCTGATTTCACAGCAACACTGAAAAGTGGGTTGTGCTGTTTCCCCTATTTTACAGATGAGGAATTTGAGTCATAGTGCAGGTATGTCATGGCAGGTTACTTGCCATCTAATAAATAGCAGAATGAGGATTTGATTCCAAGGAGTCTGATTCCAGAACCCATGCACTTAGCCATGGCACTTGACGCCTTTCTAGAACAGCACCGTGGTTCTAGGGATGAAGTGGAGATAAGTGAGAACATACCCTTTGATGGAAACAGTCCCTTTTAGGTACTGAATGGCCAAGTGATCTTGATGATATAAAACCGAAGAAACCGAGGACAGCCTGCTGCTTCAGGATCTGAGAGACACTCCTCATTTACAGAGGTGGGTCTCCAAGAGGAAATAGGAAATAGGAACGATTCAGATGCCTCAGGGCTCAGTGTCTTGGAACCAAGGAAAACCAAAACCTTATTCCTGCCCCTAGAGGGTATGTGCGTCCTGCCTATTCCTGACTCCAGGAATGACAGTGGCTGCCATTAAAGTCTCAATCTCTAAAGAAATTAATTTTTTCTTAGAACAGCCATTCCAACTCCCTGTGGCATCAGCCTCCTGGGAGACTTTTAAGATATCAATGCCTCAATCTTTTTCCAGAGATTCTGATTTAAATGATCTGGGCACCTTGTCTCCAAGCTCCCTAGGTTATGGGGTTGATACCACTGATGTTCGATGAGACTGGATCTCACCAGAGAACCTCACTGACCCTAACAGGGACAAACTCCACAGGACACAGCCAGCTCTGTCACAGGATGGGACATCCTGGAGTCAGAGCTGGAGCCAGGGAAGCAGCAAGAACAGAAGTTAGGGATCCCCAGGACAGTGCAAGATGGTCTGAAACTCAAAGGACATGTCTTTGCAAGCCACATAAATGCTTCCATTCTGGAGTCATTCAGAATAGAGGTGCAGAATAGCCCAGAGGCCAAGAGATGCCTGAAGAAGGATGCAAGAAGGACTGAAGCTCCAGTCAATGCTAGGACACCTTCCTCAGGACAGAAGTACCCTCACCTTTGCATTGGCCATGCCCTCTGATGTGACTGTCCCCAAAACTTCTGCCCAAGGCTCCTTCTGATTATTTGGGCTGTACCTTAAATATAACCTCAGAGAGACCTTCCCGTTTCATGACCTGTCCCATCTCTGTGTTCATTCTCTGCTTAAAACTGATGGCCTGGCTCATGGCTCTGTTTGTGTAGCTGATGAGATTGTGAGCTTTGAGAGTGACAATGTCTCGATTGCTCACTGCTTCCTAGCCTTCAGGACAGTGCCTGACACACAGGAGGCATGCAGTACATGTTTGCTGATTTTTACTGAATGCAAGGTCTTAGCAGCATCTTCCTTGTCAGCTTAGAAAGGATCAAGGAACAGGACAGGAAACAGGGCCTGGTGCTGCAAGTGACAGACACATCAGCAGCTGGTGGAGGTGAGAGCGGAGGCAGTGGCAGTGGCAGCTGCAAAGGCTGACATTGATCAAGGGCTGAGCCCTTCGTGCAGATTCTCTTTCACATCTCTCACACTGATGCTATGGGGGAAGTTCTCTTACTAATATCACTTACAGTTGAGGAAAGTGAGGTTCACAGAGATTATATGATTGGCACAAGATTGCAGTTAGGATGGAGTTGGGTCTTAGTGGCCTCCCTACAAAAAAACCCTCTTCAGCTAGCTTTTGGTCGAATTATGACTACTTGACAAATATGAGCTCTTACCTTTCCATTTCTAAATGGGACATTTAATTGTCCCTTCAGTTTCCTAGCAAAAGTTTAATCTGGAAAATGTTTACCTTTTCCTCAAGGCTGAACTGTGGTCAGGTTCTGTGGGAGGACCTCTGGGTGCCTGGTGTGTGGGTGATGGCTGCCACCTTGCCTTGGGCCCTAGGTCAAGGGGTCAGAGCTGCAGCATCACCCAGCTGGTGTTTTACTTTCAGTTTTTCTGGAGAAAAGGGTATTTGGGCAGAAGGCTTTTCTAACCATGTAGGCCTTGATGTAGATTTTCATGAAAAGCATATAGAAAACATAGTCCTATTAGTAATTTCTTTTAATCTTCTAAAGGCATATAAAGAAAGAAACTCTTTCTTTGAGCAAACCTTTCTTTGGTTCATGGGCATTATCCATCTCTGAGTTATGTCTTGAAAGGTCAGATTTCCTTATGTCCATAGTGAGGTCGTAGAATTTACTTATTCAAAAGGGATTTACTGAGTGTCAATTAAATAATATCCATTGAACTGGACAATATGCTGCACTATGGTGTGAAAGCAGTTGAACTCCCTGACTGGTGCCATGTATCCTGGTGTCCATGCCAGAATTGTCCTCTTGACAGCACCATGGCCCTGCTTACTCTAGAGCAGGTTTCTGGCCTCTGCCCTCCTGCCCCTACCTACTACTCTGGCACACATTCACCTGGGACATATGGTGTGTGCAGAGGAAGTTTCGTTAAAATAGTACAGGACCAAACAGAAAGAGAACATGGAGGCGGGAAATGGTAACCAAACATTTAAGTAATAGAGCTTGCTGATATGATCATTCATAATGGTTAGCTCTTTATTCTCAAATATCACAATGACTGATTAATATGATTGCCAGTGAGACTTCATTGATTTGTGCTCAATCAGTGGCTTTTCCTATTAATTTTCCAGCATCCAGGAACAAGACAAGAGGCTTCAGGCTCTGTGGAATGCTTGTGAAAAATTGCCCAAGGCCAATCACAACAACATCCGGTAAGTTAACTCTGGAGACACTTGAGTCAGGGTTATTTAAGCCCCAGACACACAGTTTCCTGGCTAAAGATCATGGTGACTAGCATACACAGCATTTCATGGTGTTCAAAGTGTTGTTAGCATGCTTGGTCTCTTTTCAACCTCAAACAACCCTGTGAGGTTAATTACCGTTTTGCAGAGAAAACAGGCTGAAAGGAGCTACCTGACTTTGGAGGCTGCCTAACTAGCTATTGGCTAAATCATTTAAGTTCTTTGATTTGCAAGGAGCAAAGATTAATGCAAGCTATTTGAAGATATTGGGGATTTATTGTAAAGAGAGGTGTTCATGGGCACCTTGGAGAAGCTAACCAAACCTGGAGCTGGACTTAGCTGGTGTGCCCTTGAGCTAGTCCACTGGAAGAGGCCAGGAGAATATTCTCTAGTGCTCCACCATTCACCAGCTATTTTTCCACATATCATCTCTCACTTTTCTTGTGACCACCAGAGATTTTACTTCCTGCTGCTCTGCAGATCTTTTCTCTACCCCAGCTTCTGCTTCTTCACACTTTCTGCTTCCTCATCACTTTGTCTTGCCAGCACTGCTCCTGGCCCTGCCACCTCTCCTGGTATTTTCTTGAGATACAGATTTTCAGCTCCTGCTACCATCTGCCTGATTATTTCTGTTTTCCTGTAAAAAATCCTGAGTGCCGGTAAGGAGGATCCTCAAAAAATCAAACATAGAATTACCATTTGATCCAATAATTCCACTTCTGGGTATGTAGCCAAAAGATTTGAAAGCAAAGACTTGATATTTATACACCCATATTCATAGCAGCATTATTCACAATAGCCAAGAGGTGGAAACAGCTCACATGTCCCATTGATGGATAAGCAAATAAACAAAATACACAAACAGTGCATTATTCAGCCTTAAAAGAGAAGGAAATTATGACACATGCTACAATGTGGATGAACTTTGAGGACATTATGCTAAGTGAAAAAAAGCCAAACACAAAAGGACAAATACTGTATGATTCCACTCATATAAGACACCTGGAATAGTCAACCTTCATAGAGACAGAAACTAAAATGGTGATGGCCAGCAGCTGTGGGGAAGGGAAGACTGTAGGGGGTATCATTTAATGGGTATAGTTTTAGTTTGGGATGAAGAAAAAGTTCTAGAAATGGATCGTGGTGATGGTTGCATAACGATGTGGAAGTAGTCAATACTAGTGAACTATATATTTAAAAATGGTTAAAATGATAACTTTTATATATATTTTGCCACAATTAAAAAAAAAAACAAAAAATGAGAGTCACATCAGTATAACACATTGAGTGTTACTAACTGCAGTTTAGGATACCAGCCAGCTATGGACTGATTGCAGTCAGCTGAGTTCCCACGTCCTGGTCCAGGTGTATGTGGCCTCTTGGAGACGTGGTCAGGAGAGGCTGTGGGTGGATTCGGCACAGCAGCAGCTTAGAGACTATGTTATCAGACCCTGGGTATGGTGATCTTTCTTCTAGGCCGGCAGAAAGTGAGTAAACAATTTCCGAGGGAGCTACTTCACTGTGATCCAAGCAGAATGGGGTCAGAAACAGCCTTTTGTAACTGAAAATACACGGACCCTTGGGTGCTGAGACCTCGTCTCATTTTGGCAGATTTTTGGTATGGTTCGCCAGAGCTGTTTAGTGTGCTTCATTTGTTCATAGCTTCCTCACTGGTTCTTTTTTCTATTTTTTTAATGATAGCTTTATTGAGATATAAAGCACATTGTACCCCTTTAAAGTGTGTAATTTTTTGGGTTTTTTTTTTTTTTTTTTTTTTTTTTTTTGTATAATTGTAGAGTTGTACAACTGTCACTGCTACCTAATTTTAGGACATTTTCATCACCCTAAGACGAAACACTATTCCCATTAGCAGTCACTGCTCATTCCCCGCAACCCAGCCCCTGGCAGCCGCTAAGCTACTTTCTGTCTCTATCTCTATAGATTTGCCTATGCTGGATAGTTCATGTTAATGGAATCATACAATATGTGGTGTTTTGCGTCTTGCTTCTCTCACTTAGCATAATGTTTTCAAGGTTCATCCACGTGATAGCATGTATCGGAGCTTCCTTGCTTTTTGTGGCTGAATAATCTTCCATTGTACAGATAGACCACATTTTATTTATCTGCTCATCTGTTGATGGATATCTAGGTGGTCTCATTTTTGGTTGTAATGAATAATGCTGCCATGAATATTTGTGTGGATCTATTTTTCTTGGGAATATCCCTAGGGGTAGAATTGCTGGGTCATATGCTAAGTCTTTAACTTTTTCTTCAATGTCTCTCTCCAGAAAGCCCCACTGAGCGGAGCTCCAGAGGGATCAGGGGATACCACCCCTAGCATGTAGATGTCCCTGGCAGTGGCACCTAGACAATTTGCTTCTCGCCTCTGCACACAGGGAGGATGGCCAGTGACAGGTTTGAAAAGAAGGAGGAACTTTAGGTTATTATTTACTGAGTCCGAAGCAAAGATGGAGAATTTCTCTGGCCAGATGTTGACATATAGTGGAGTGAGATCAGAGCCTCACGTGTCCTGAAACATGACACGTCTTCATCATATTATAGGATGTATGACTCTTTTGTCAGTAAGATATGCTACATGAGAGAAGTTTCTACCCAGTCCTGGGGAAACGAGGCTAGTTTTGAGCCTTTAGTTAAACCTGGTCCTTCTAACTTCCTTCTAGATATTTGATCAAATTTTTATCCAAGCTGTCAGAATATCAAGATGTAAACAAAATGACTCCCAGTAACATGGCAATCGTGTTAGGACCCAACCTCCTGTGGCCGCAAGCAGAAGGGTGAGTACGGGGAGGAAGGGGCATAAGGGTGATGTTTGGTACTACAAGGGCAGGGATGGGATGGCTAGGGCCCAGGTAATCACCAGTCTCATTTATTTGTCAAGTCACAGTTCTGCCTTGGCCTGTACCTTTTTTAAGCTCAGGAGGAGGCACAAAATTCTGCAGGTCTTTCCATTGATAGTCTCAGAGCTACAGATCTGCCAGGAGGGTATTCTCTAAGCTAATCTAAGTCAGTATCAGGATGAAAGAAAAAGGGATATGGCAGACCAGGCAAGGCAGACTCTCAAGCCTCCCCAATACATATCCCAGCATCAAGATCTATCCAGAGGGACAGAGGGCCATCTCAAAAGTGAGAACAGTTGGAAAGAGGATGAGTCTGGCAGCTATGAGGATCATACTTCATGTTGAAAGGTGCCTCATACTTGATGATGTGTGCATCCTATTCATTTGCTTATTCGTATCCTTACATGTTTCCTATAAGGAGGACTTCTATGGTTATCACCGTCCTATAGATGAGGAAAGGTTCGGAAAAGTGAACCTCTTCTTCCCAAGAGAAATCCTGTTCTCAGACATAGGTCTGCAGGCTTCCAGTCTAGGGCCCCTTCTCCGGTTGTGGGGCCAGGTGTGCCTCTTACTCTGCCTTGGCTGGTAACCCTGCCCTGCCCTCCTGTGCTCTATGCTTGCAGGAACATCACGGAGATGATGACCACAGTTTCACTGCAGATTGTTGGGATCATCGAACCCATCATCCAGCATGCAGACTGGTTCTTTCCTGGGGGTATGTGGTGGCATCCAGGTGTGGGAGCGGGGGTGGCTGGGGGAGAGCAGAAGTGTCACTATGAGTTTTGAACCTTTGAAATCAAGTACCATTGCCCAAAGGTATTTGTTTTGTTTTGTTTTGTTTTATAATCCTCTACACACACATGTACACACACACACTCAGGTATGGGGATAGAGTCGTGGTAGTTTCCTACTCTCTATTTTGAGAGTGTCCACTGCCTGTATCAACCATGTCCATGAATTTTTCTGGTCTAACATCCACACCTGATTTCTTTAATCTATAAATCATGAAATGATGGTACAGAAAGGAAAGACAGAGTCTCTGTTTTATAGTTGCAGAGGGAGGCGGAGACCTGAGATGAAGGGGACTTTTATTCAGAGCTTATGGATCATCTGTGTGCCATCCTTTTGTTATTCTAAGCTGCATCCTTTGAGCTTCCCTTGGCATGTAAAGGTGCGGCTCAAACGCAATGAGATTCTTTTTTGTAACTGGTTCAAAATTAGACTCTAAAGGCAGCTACCTAAGAGGGATTTTCATAAATGTTCTTAGCCATGAAAACACCATTGCATAAGTATGACTCCCAGTGGTGAAGACTTTGAAGAGGCAGCAGTTATTATGCTGAATTCTGTGTTCCTTTAAAAAGGTGGGGCGGGGGTGGGGAGGGCACCATACCTTATGTTTAGTAACATTAAGGGTATAATGTTAATAATTCTTCACTGTGTCTATTAAAGGTAATCAATTAGTACTGACCTAACAACATCAAAGAGTTTGATTATATTTTGTTTCATGTGTTTTGACTGTGAAAGCTCTTAACTGCTAATCTTATAAGAGTTCTGTTGATGACATAAAGTTGGGTGAAGGTAAGAAATCAGGATAAACAAAAAAAGGAGATAGAAGTTGAAAGCATGATTCTGTAAGTTCTGTAGATGAGCTAATGCATTACCATTGCAGATAAACAGGCTCTGACTACAAAAGGGTAATATGAGCACTTCCATGTGTCCGTTAGATAGCCAACAAACACCCTTAGTAACTCTATTGAAATTTCTAGTTTTAATCCTTTTTATTTTTTTCTCTTTGGTTTTCTAGAAATATATCATCATCTACAAATAGTCGTATTGCCTCTTTATTTTCTTGGCTAATTCCATTGGCCAGCCCTTCTTCAGTAGCATTAAATAACTGTGGTAGAGTGGGCATTGCCCTTTTTCCTGATCTGATTAAGACTGTCCTGGTGTTTCCCTCTTGACCATGAGGTTTGAGAGAGATGATTTTGTATTTTTCAGGAAGTACCCATCTGTACCTGTTTAACTAAGTTTGTTTTTAATCACAAATGGAAATTGCTTTATTAAATGCCCATCATATTTTTATGTAGATAAGCACATGTGTTCACCTATTAATATGATGAATGATATTAAGATGAGTTAATATCAGTAGATGACCTAACATTGAATCATGGGATCAGATTCTCTAGGAGTGAAGTGTAAAGGGAAACCATCTCTGCTCATCTCTCTCCTGCCCAGGAAGGGTGTGACAGACCAATGGATCATGTACACCCATTTTTTCTTCCCCACAGAGATAGAGTTCAACATCACAGGGAATTACGGGAGTCCGGTACACGTGAACCACAATGCCAACTACAGCTCAATGCCCTCCCCAGACATGGACCCTGCTGACCGGCGCCAGCCTGAGCAGGCCCGCAGGCCCCTCAGCGTTGCCACAGATAATATGATGCTGGAATTTTACAAAAAGGATGGGTATGAGCTGGTGTCCCTTTCTCAGCATTGGGGATTGGAGAAGGGAGGGGTTGAGATGTAACATAAAAACCAGATTGACAGAAAGGCTGCACGTAATGAGCAGCTGTTTAGGTGACTTGTAGCAATTAAACTGTTACCTCAGTCTCGATGCTTCCATCTGTGCAGTTTGGGGTGAGTTGCTTGGCTCACTTCCCTCACTCCGGGCCAGAGGCAAATGCAGCCTTTTGAGCTGACAGTTGTGGTCAGTATTGATTAGTTCTCATGAAAAGAAAGAAAAGGTGGTCCACAAGGGGAGTGAAAAAAAAATACATAAACAATTTTTTTTGACTCAAAATTTGTAAGTGTATGCCAATTTTCAAATCTCTAATGATTTCACTTTGATGATAGGCCTGCTCATTTGCCTTCTTAAGCAGCATTAAACAGCATCTTTAATGCATAGTTTAGCATGTCCAGTTTTAGTTTAAAACAGAAAACCTAAAGCTTAAAGTACTCTGAGTACAATATCTTGATAAATTTTTAAGATTTTTCCCGTCTTTTATGATTAACACCTATACCTACTTTGATGCAGTTATGACAAGACTGCTAAAAGTATTCAACTGAATTTGCATAGGAATGACCCTCTCACACATATTAAATCAGCTTACATAGTATATAATTGCACAATATTCCCATAATAAGTAAAATTGGCAAAGACAGTTTTCATAACAAGTACAACTGATTCATGGTAAGCATCAGCCCAGCTGTGGCAAGCAAAATATGTAGATTTCTGAATGCTCAGGAAACTGAAGGTGTCAGCCAGTGTGTCTTCCAGAGGAATGGGTGCATTGCTTGGTCAAGCAAGTCAGCCGAGTAAACTTTGGTTGGGAATTAAAAAGCACTACTATAAAATAAAATTTAGCCACTGCTGCTTTAAAACAAATGGGATCATAAAGCACCAAAGGGGAATATCAGAAATTCAGACAACCGCAAGTATAGCAGCTACAATCTTCTGCTTCCCAGTCAGACCACTAGGTGACTAGAAAGCTCCCTTCGTTTGAAAGGCATAAAGCCTACAGGGCTTCAGAGGAAAGGTTGAATACCCAAGACTCTAGAGGGATATGAGTCTTACTTTCTGCCCCTTTCCTTTTCTGAGTGGGAGCTGGCTTTGGGGACCTATACTACGTCTTGTGATTTTGGAGGAGTGTTCAGAAAGGCCAGTGTCCCTGCTTGTTACCTGACCCACCTTGTTCACAGACACTTTATCTGTGAACTGATGGGGGTTGTTTGTTGTTTTCATGTCTAGTGGGGAAAGAAAAACTGGAAATTCTTAGAAGTTGAAAGGAGTAGAGGGAATTTCTTAAATCTATGAAAAAGAGCATACTTAGAAACCTGATTTTTGTATTATGAGAGCAAGTCAGACAGAGATGGAGACAGAGAAAGCATGCAAGCAAATGTATTGGAATTTGTTTTTAAAACTCAGTTTCACTTGATTCCTTTGTAAAGTACCTCTAGCTGAGGGATACCCTGAGGGGTTCGGTTCTGGTAGTGGCAGGGTCATAGAGCAGCAGTTCCCAACCTTTTGGACCGGTGTTCCTATGAGAATCTAATGCCTGATGATCTGAGGTGGAGCTGAGGCGGTAATGCTAGTGCTGGGGAGCAACTGTAAATACAGATGAAGCTTCGCTCACTGGCTCACTGCTCACCTCCTGCTGTGTAGCCCAGTTCCTAACAGGCCACAGACTGATACCAGTCCATGGCCCTGGGATTGGGGACCCCTGTTTTAGAGAGCTCCCCTGGTACCCAAGTGTTTCTGCATCAGAGGTGTGGTCCTGTGTCCTCCCTGCCAGACTTCATCTGATCTCTAGTACCCTCCAAGAGCAATCCAGATGACTGCTGAGATAGTTATCACTCTGGAATTTCAGGGTATTCAAAGTCCACTGGCCTCCATAGCATGCAGGCAGATGTAGAAGCTCAAATGATGATATGTTAGGCAGATGCCTCATCGTTGAGAAAGTTCTCTTGCTCAAGAACTTACTCGAGATGCATTTGAAAGTTTTCAGACTACCTTTACCCCTTGAAACATTGACAAATTAAAGCTCGCTTTATTGAGGTTTTTTGGTGAGGTTAAAGAAGAATATATTCAATTATATGTCAATAAAGCTTTTACTTTTTAAAAAAGGAAATTTGGGGAAGAAAAAATGAATAACATTTTCCTTAGCTGATGGTTGCTATGTCCGAGACTTCATACAAGATAGTTTAGTCCCAATCCCAGCTCCTGGCTTTGGTCCTGATGCCTTTCTGATTCATAATGACACAGGAAACTATTTCATTAGCAAGTCCTAGGGTCAGAGTTAGAAGTTCACATATACATTTTTCATGATTGTGGTAGGCGAAATAATGCTCTTCTCCCCCCTACCCCCATAATATCAGGTCTTAAGCCCTGGAACCTGTAAATGTTTTTTATTTTCCTTATTTGGGACAGGGTCTTTGCAGATGTAATTAAAATATGGATCTTGAAATAAGGAGATTACTCTGGATTGTCAGGGTAGGCACTGTATGCAATCACATATATCATAAGAGGGTGGCTTATGAGATCTCACACACACACACACACACACACACATGCACACACAAGTGGAGATATGATGATGAAGCAGAGAGGGATTTGAATTTGGGGCCACAAGCCAAGGAATGCTGACAGCCACCAAAAGGAAAGGATTCTTCCCTAGATCCTCTGGGGAGAGCACAGCCTGCTGACACCTTGATTTTAGTTGGACTTCTGGCTTCCAGAACTGTAAGAGAATCAATTTCTGTTGTTAATAACTTTGGGGACTTGTGACAGTAGCCACAGGAAACTAATACATCCTTCCTCTTAATCTTCATACGAAAGATGACAGTGGATGTTTTGATTCTACTTCTGCTGAGAGTTGAAATCTAATTGCACTCCCTTTGAATCTGAGCTGGACTCAGTGACTTACTTATTAATACAGTGTAGCAGAAGTGATGTCTGGGCCTTCTGAAGCCAGATCAGAAGAAGCCTTTTAGATTATGTCTGGGTCTCTTAGAATACTCGCTCTTGGAACCCAGCTACCCTGCTGTGTGGAAGTCAAACAGCCCCTTGGAGAGAAACCAAAGCCCCCAGCCTTCATTCTGCAGCGAGCACTGAGCTGACAGGCAGCACCAACTTACAAGCTTTGTTTGCAAGTCATCTTAGAGCCTTCTAGGCCAACCCAAGCCACTTCAGCTAGTGCTGTGTAGGGTAGACAAGCTGTCCCTGTCTGACTCTGCCAAAACTGTGGAGTTGTGACCTAGATAAATAAGCTACCAAGTTTTGAGAGTGGTTTGTTATGCAGCTAAAAATAGCCAGAATGAGCTTTAAAAAAAGAATACCAATGCTCTGCTTCCCTAGACCCCTGTTCCTCCAACCTGATATCATTGGCCTTGGCTAAGGTTCAGGCATTGGTGGTTTTTAAAATGTCCTACATGATACTAATGTGTGTCTAGGTTCGAGAACCACTGAATCACAGAAAAATTTTGCCACTCCGAATAAGGAATTTTGAAATGATACCATTTTTTTTAATTTTCAAAATTTTTCTACTTTAGGCATTAAATGTCAGTGTGACATACAGTCCATCCTACCTCTGCCAACAATCTTAGCAACATAGTATCAATAGGTCACACTAGTGCTCTCTGTACTTTTCTCAACTCCCACTTAGAAATTTTTGGGTATAGGTTGATATGTACTTTTAATGTCTTGTTTATATTATATTTTTGGTTTGTTTATAGAATAGTGATTTTTTTGGATCATTTGTCCCAAATAATAAACGAAAGTAACCTTGCAAGTCCCTTCTATTTTTCTGACATTGGCGGAAATGTTATGCCTAGTCATATCAAATATTTTTTTATGCAAGTCCTATTGCTTCTAAAAGAGTTGGCCGAGACTTCCACACACTATTGCCCATTGGTCAGGATGGACTCATGGGCCCTAAGTATTTGTCAGATGCATCCATTGGCCACATCCACAGCAGTCAGAACAAACTCAAAGGGGATTGTTGAGGGATCTGTGGAGAAGCCCAGAGGCAGACTAGGAAAGACCTCAGCAATGAAGCCTCCTTACTAGTATCTCATCTCTACCCTCCTATTGGCTGTCACTCTCCCCTCTTCTACTCCTCTCTGTCTCTACTCCCTGTCGCCAGCCTCAGATTTCAGACAGACTCCACCATCCCTTTTCCTATATATCATGTGCCCATTTCTTTGGTGCCTGTTTGCCACCTCCTGGCTCTGGCCCATGTTCTCTACACTTGCCCTGCTGGCTGACACATCTGTCCTGCTGCCCCTGTTTACTTCAGGCCCCTTGGATCCCAATGGGAGGGCATTCTGTTCACAGAGATCCCAATGACCCTTGGCTCTTTGTAATCAAAAGACACATATGCAGCTCCTCTTTCCAGTATTGAAACCTGGCATACTTGCAGCCATTTTGCTTGCTCCACAGTGATCTAGCCTCAGAGTTCCTCCACCAGAGCCAGTTGACAGCAACCAAAACAACTCTATGAGGATATTTACACCAGAGCTAGCAGTCTCCCTTAGAGCTCAGTTTGGTGTGTGACTCATCCTCAGCCTATGCTGGAGAGCTACTCTGTAATGGGTCTTGTCTCACCAATCTAGACCTTAACCTTGACGACCAGTAATTTGGAATAAGCATGTTTAATTAAGAAGGTTCAAGGGTAATCTGAATGGTGCTCTGTGGAATACAAATCCCACTGTTGGTTATATGGGATTTGCGGGGAGGATGGGAGTCTGGAGTCAAACGAGTTCTTAAAATACATGATTCAACGTGTTGAAACCAGTTTCTTTAGTGTATGACTTCTCAGAGTCTTTATCTGTCTCTACCTTGCCATGAGCAGTTGGGCTAATTCTGCAGGCATATAATACGTTAAAGCCAAAATGGACTGGCCAAGGATAGCAGAAGGTTACAGGAGGCTCCTCGTGACGTGGAAGACCCGTAGATGGGAAAGGTTGTG